CTCTTTGGGAGGACAGCAGAGGAAAAGTGAATTTACAAAGCCTCGCCCACCGGGCCCACCTCGGCACTGGCCGAGATGACTGTGATCTGGAAATGTGCACCATCCAAGCTCAGGAAGTCTGCCCGGGAAAGGGAGCTTTCTGAAAGAGGCCTGATACGCTAGGCACCGCATAGACCTCCAACCGTAAACCAAGCGCTCCTGCCCTGTGGCTGAGGGTGCTGCAGGGCCGGGGTGGGGGACCTGCTGGACAGAACAAAGACTCAGGTCCTGACACTGACTTCCGGGGCACCATACGCTTCCCCAGTGAAGTCCTAATGCAGAGTCYTGGTGCCCCACAGTGGRAGAAGCCACTGTGTGCAGGGTGGAGGTGACCTCAGATGGGGGCGGTGCCTCAGGTGGCAGTGGGTTTCCAGAGAGGAAATGGCTGCACACAGCTCCCAGGACGGTCCAGCACCTCCCCTGCAGGGCTATGCAAGAGGTGGGCAGGCGGGTGGCACCCTTTGCTCCACCCAGGATGCCCATGTTCCTGCTCCTGGAGAAGCTCTAGCCAACTCAGTCACGTCTTTCCCTCTCCATGTCCTCACTCAGATAAGCTGTGACAAGCAGGCGGGGGAGAAGACGTCAAAGGACACAGTGAGGAAGGGTCAATACCTCTTATGTCTGCTCTGAAGAACCAGGTGCTCTTTAAAGGTAGAATTGGAATGTTCTCTAAGACCCAGACCAGCTGACTCGAGCAGTGAAGAGCAGAGCCCTGGCTGACAGCCCAGCTGGCACACGCTTTGCCGCTGCAAATGGACAAGCCCCCAAAGACCAGGGTCTGCTCTGTATTTTGAGACACTTGATGCAAAGCAGAGAACTCTGCTCTTAAATGACAAAACGCAGGAGGACATAGTAGACCACATTTAACACTCAGGATGACCCCTGAGTACCCTCAATGGAGCTGTCGTGTGAGCACTGCACAAGATGGCAGAGACCACGGTTCAACAACAGACTCCTGGACTGTGCCCCATAAAAATTTAATTTACGCAGCGATTGGGGAGCATTCACATTTTAGGGAAGCACTCTAAGATGGAGATGGTACTCTCTGGCTTTGTGCAAAGTAGTCCTAAAATGAGAAGAGTCAGTAACTGGTGACTTGAGGCTGGGWCCCCAGAGCTACAGGAAAAGTAAAACACAAAACGAAAAAAAGACCTCAGTTCAAGAACTCTCCGTGGTGTGTGTAGAAAGCTTAGCCTTTGTAACCAGGATGTGCACACAGGTCAACTCGAGGGACGGTGCCCATGTAGGAAGCCCTACTTGTTCTTCCGAATCTTTGTGCCTGTGAGACCACAGTCCATGGTGAGCATCAACAGATGATGGCCAGCACCCAAGCCCTGCGGTTGCCCATTTGTGTTCATCCAGTTTTCTTGGATGAATACAAACCCCATGGCCGCTCTCTGCACCAACACAATGTTGGTAGGTTGCAAAGACTCAAGTGGCCTGCAGGGTTGGAAAGCCATCCTCTGTTCCCTATGGCAGAACTTTGGCAACTCCTCGTCTGTAGGTTATTGTAAGGATGAAAATGATTCAGCACAGTGCTTGGCACATGGGAGCTCTTTTAATAAGACTGATATGCTGAGAATCAAATGAGGTTTGAATGGCCGAATCCTGTGGATCCTTAASCATTTTACAAGAAGCTCTTGTTCAAAGTGCTTCATTTAGGAGAAAGCCAAGAGTCTCCACCTGCTCTTGATGGAAAAATGGCCACAGACAAATGTAGCCTGAAAGGGCTCTGGGGCACTACTAGTCATCCATCAGGCTGGCAAAGCTCCTGAGTCCACAGCATGCTCTGCCACTCCTGGGCACTGCTGCTGGRAGTCACAGGCACAGTGGCACAGGCCTGTGATCCCAGCTACTGGGAAGGCTCAGACAGGAGGACCGTAGGTTTGAGGCCAGCCTCAGCAACTTAGCAAGGCCTGTCTCAAAATGTTATATGCTTAAATGTAACAAAATCCAAAGGAACTATATCAACTAAATCACTGGTCAAGTACATCAGTGCTGTTTCCTTAGGAGACAGCCCTCGTCAGTGGAATGCTTCAAGCGAGCCATTCCTGGTGCAGGGTCTCACAGTACACGAACCTGCAATCCATTGACTTATGAGGAGATGTCACATGAGCTGTTTAAATTTCTTGGGTATAAAAGGGGATGTTGCAAAGTCAAATGCTCCCTGAAACAAGAGGGAGAAAGAAATGAATAAGAAGCCTCATCTACCGCAGAGTCGGGACTGGTGGGAAGAAAGACCTGAGGTCTCCTGGGTCTCTCTGCACCACCTGTACCCACACGGCTTGTGTCCCTGAGACTATTAGCAAAGTGGATGCTGAATCAGATCCCGGATTTGCAGGAGGGTGGCTGGACCACTCTCCCCGCTGCATGAGCTCACAGAGCACGGCCACCTGCAGGCTGGAGAAGGCAGACCATCCGCATACCCTGAGGTRGGACTCACCACTAGTGCAAGTCACAAGGAGGGGACTGCCTGTGACACGCCTTCCTCACACTGGAGCAGCGGGAGGCTGCCCTGCACCTGCCGTGAGCTCCCACTTGTGAAGTCACATCAAAAGCTGATACCGTGACCACCAGGGAAGGGAGGCCAGAGCCCAGGGGCAGATGGTGCTGATGTTCCCTAACAGACTTTGCGACATACTATGGCCTGGAGCCATGTCAACGTCACATATTCAAAATGACACTAACCACGAGGAACAGTCTGTTGAAACTAAACGGAATTACATATAAAATTTCAGATACGATCACACCAAGAGAAGAAAACAATTTCAAACTTCTGTGGTTCTCTGCCTTCTGATGGCACATTCTGAACAGGACGCCCATCGGGCCAGCRGCCAGCTTTCAAAACCTCCTCCAGCCACCTTGGCATTAGTGGGGATATTAGTATGATTTTGAAAAGATATAAAACGAAACGAGGGAATTTTATTAAGAGTGAAGATTTTTCAGTGGAAAAGGGTGAAAAAGGTAGCTTCAGAAAGGTTGAAAATTCTGCGAGGCCACGTTTGAATTGGGAACACTGTATGAGCTCAGGATGTAGTCTTCTTAAAAAATATATTTCCCAGCTCCATCTGTCGACAAGGCCCAGAAAGGATGGCGCCCAGTCGTGACGACCATCCCTGGTGTCTAGAGAGTGGTTTCAAAATGCCACTCCCCAGTAGGGAAGGCTGGGCACCAGGACGGACCCTGACTGCAGGTCCACAGCGGAGGGCGGAGGAGACGGGAAGAGCTAGCTGTGCCAGGACCCGGGACCTCGAGGACCAGGAGGACCAGGAGGACCAGAGGGTCTGTGCCAAGGGGCAGGAAGTCAGTCCCTTCCCAGGCTGCAAGTGGAACCCTCGAAACACCGAGAGATTCTACAAGACAATGGGCCGGGCTCCTCCAAGCTTATGACTTAAAGAAAAGCAAGACAAAGGGATTGGTGGAGGCAGGGGACCGACCGCTGATCAAATAAGGAGGCTTAAAAGAGGTCCTGATGAGGAGGGACGTGTGGCTTCTGGTGGCCTGCAGATTCAAACCACGAAAAAGGACATTTTCAACATGATGGGGAAATGTRAATATCAACTGGGTCTTTTTCGCCTGTTTCTAGTGCTGGGGATGAGCTGGCCTCGGGTCTGCAGGGCAAGCTTCTGCCACTGGGCTGCGTCAGTGCTGTGGCCAGGGACTGGGCTGAAGTTGCACTAGGGCTGGTTGTACTACTGCGGATGACAGTGGGTTAGGGCTCAGGGAGAAAATGCCTGTTGTTCTCACCTACAGAGGAAAGGGTGGCGTGAGGTTAGAGATGTGGTTTAACATATTTCAGCCCGAATCAGAAAATAGAAACAGTGAGTTTGGCCGAGCCCCGTCGACGCTAGGTGTGGATATACGACCTCCACTGTCTCTCTCTACTTCTGTGTGTGTTTGAAATTCCTCATCACATGACGAAGAATCGAGAGAGAAAGATTTCACACTGGAATGAAGCTCGACCTGTTTTCCCCTCATCAATTTTTTTTTTTTTTGGTACCAGAAATCAAATCCAAGGGCATTCAGCCACTGAACCACATCCCCAGCCCTTTCTTATTTTTTTGAGACAAGAGACTCGCTCAGTTGCCTCAGCCTCCCAGGTCACTGGGATTGCAGGTGTGTGMCACCGCGCYGGGCACAACCCCCTGGGATCTGGTCATGCAGAGTCAACCTCTGTTGACACCCTGAACTAGTGACAAGAGCTGGAGGGAGACCAGGTCGTGATGGTGCCGGTGAGAGTCGGAGCGTGTAGGGACATGAGTAAATCCTGGAATCACTTACTCAGGGGCAAAGGACTGCTGTCARAGGTGACTGACTCTTCTGTTGCCCGTACAGAGACGACGCAGTTTTTAGTATTTTATTTTGACCACTCTGTGAACTTGAACATCCCCAGAAAAGAACATTTTCAATACCGTGAAAACAACTAGTGAATATATACTTTTAGAGTAAAATAAAATTATAACTACTTTTCTCTCTTTTAATAGCTGCATCTCCATTGAAAGCTCAGTGTAAGACCCTAAATCCCAAAGGGAAGTGCTGCCTGCCACCTGCCACTGGACCCCCAGGAGGGGGTTTGGGACCTGTCCGGCCCCACCTCCACATCTTTGATGTTATAATGACTCCATATTCTTTCTTTTGGGGACTCTGGTGTAGGAACACTTGAAGYTGCACCAGGTATGACTCAGCATTGAACTTGGAGCTGACAGGAACTGCTTTCATAACTGGGAGAAGAGCAAGGCTTGCTGTCAGCCATTCCCAGTTAACCTTGACTTCCACTCTGCGTGCTGGGATGGTTTATAGAGCAAAGCTCTGACTGTGCCAAGGCACTGAGGCTCCCAGAGGCAAGGCGATGTTGTGCCAAACAGTGGCGGCAACACAACCGACTTATRTTCAAAAGACCTCTTGGAATAAAACAGGACAAGACAAGTAGCAGGAGGTGGAGACGTGCTGACCCGGCTTACCTTTCAAAGCCGATCTGCCGAAACGTCTTTTCCCACGTCGAGCCTGCAACAGAGGAAACAAGGTCAGTGCCCTGCTCACTGGCTCTGTCCTGCTGTGGCACGCTCTTGCTGGGCGCTTGCTTTGGCATCTACATGGAATGACCTGGTTTCACTCCACAACCCAACTCTGCCCATGGCCTTATATATTTTTGTTTCCCTCAATTTATTTAGTGTTTGATTGACAATATTGACCATTTATAGGCAACAGTGTGATGTATCCACATATATATATATATATATATATATATATATATGCATCCTGAAAAGATCAAATCAGGATAATGAGCATCTTCATCACGGAAATATTTATCACTTTTTTTTTTGCGGTAAGGACTTTCAAAGTCCTCACTTTCGGCTATTTTGAAATTTACCGTAAGTTAATGTTAATTAGAATCAGCCCACTGTGCAATACGACATCAGAATTTATTTCTTCTATCAAACTATGATTCTGTGCCCTTGACAGCTCTCTCTCCATCCCGCCCTCCCCTCCGCCCTCCCAGTTGCTTCTTCTTCCAAGAGATCAGGTTTTCTAGATTCCACAAATGGAGAAGACACAGAAATGGACAAAGGAGAGAAGATCAAACACAGTCATCCGCCAAACACCCAAGGATGCCCAGCTCAGGTCGGGTGAGTAAGCCTCTCTTGTGAAAACCCCAGTGCACTGTGCACCAAGCACTCCAACCCTCRGCCTGCCATCCGTGGTGCATATTCCCCTCCAGGTGACACCCTCAAGTCCAACCCACGCACCACACCTTCCTCTYACCAGGGCTGCACCAGGGGACCACATTTTCATTCTTTAAATTTTAAACTGTTTTTAACGGTCAAAAATGTAAAAATGCTCTCCAGATCATGTGAGGAGTAATAAACCCAAATCACAAAAGCAAAGAACACCTGGGTAGAAACAATTGCCACAATTTTTCCATTCCTCCATAAGTGGCAGGCACATAATAATTTTCCAGGTAGTTGATAGACAGAGAAGCACTGATTTTTATCAAAGAACGTTTTAATAAAAATGTTTCATGTTCACATGTTAAGGATTTGGGCTAATTCGAGGGCTTTACATTTTCCTGAGGCCTAGCCAGTGGCAAAACTATTTTGATTTCAGCAACTATTATTCTAACAGATTGTTCTTGTTACCCTAAATTCGTAAGTTGTGCGTTGATTGATCATCAGAGCAAATCATCACTGCCTTTCTGTGGACGATAATTCTGCTAGCAGGAAGTGGAAGATTCCGGCTTGAGTCTTCAGAGGTAGCTAAGAAGTGACCCTGCTTCTTTTCTGAAACCAAAAACACTGGGCAAGGGTTTGGGTGCCTTTCTTAACTCTGCCTCAAGTGCTCCATCTTCTGGTAGCCACGCAGACACCCTCCGACGTTACCTGGGCTCCTGGGAAAGCAGGAGCTTATACAGGARGGGGTGGCCCCAGGCAGCCTGAAGTAGCCCCAGGAGAGATGCAAGCAGTCACAGCGAGCTGGAGTTTTACCCCAGGGTTTGGGTCCCTATGAGTTGGTCACGTTGGAGTGTTTCAAATCACCTTTATAATAAAGGACAAAATTTCATATATGCATTACACACACACACACACCAAATTTAAAGCAAATTGGCTTATTTTCTTGGATGATGTCATTCTTCCAGCTGAATTCCCATATGTTTTTCAGAGTAGGAATTAAAGACACAGACTTTGAACTCACCAGCCCAGGAATTTTTTTTTTTTGGCCTCTGGCCCAGAGAAGCAGGTCCCCTGTGAACATCTTGTGTCTGGTGAGCTTTATGCTAAGCCGTCAAAAGTCCCTATTTCAGGGATTCTTGCTCCTAAAATCCTAGCCATCAAGACAGATAACTTGTCAGGCAAAAGCACCGTTGTATTCAGGGCCGCTGGGCTCTCTCTGCTCCAAAGTAAGGAGCAGGAGAGGAGAGTCTCCCATCAGGGCAGAACCAGATGTTGACCTCAGGCCAGGCGAAGCCTGGGGAGGCTGTGGGGAGGGATGAGATGAGGGAGGAAGTCTAGATGCCACGTCTTTAGACCCTAGCTTCTGGAGGGAAACAGGCACCTTTTAAACTGCTCTGTATTTCTATTGCTTTCCCGGATCTTCTCCTCATATTCCCCAATGCCATTTAAATTTTAAGAAAACTCTTTTCTTAGCAGATTCAATTTATTATCAATATGAAATTAAAAAATAAATGATCCTGCTACACTGTTAAATATTTGCTATTTGATGTTTTGAACATGGAGCTTTGATTAAGAAATAGGCCTTATGTTCCTGTGGCGGAGAAATGGGAATTGTTCAGACAGGAAGGACACGGTCTTGGTGCAAGGCTTAGAGGCCACATGGTGAAGCCCCTCAGCCAGGCCCAGTGTAGACGGGAGAGCGAGCCCTGCGGGCACCCGAGCCTCTTGCACAGCGACAGGCTGCTCTCTGTGCACACCTTCCTAGCTTCCCCGGGTGCTGGGGGCATATTAAAACCTGCCTTCAGCCCTTAAACCCACAGTGCCCCCGAGCTGGAGACTTTTATGTCCTGGGTCAGCGCCGCCTCACGATGCAATGAGAGACAGGCAGTAAATGGAACAGACGTATCCAGATCCTTTGGCACCAAGAGTATTTTTGGCAGCTCATTACGGACTTGCTGGGGAATTCTTTAAAGCCATTAACTGTGCTCCACGTGGTAAGGTAATACCACTCTCCTTTGCCAAAGCAGCCCGACTCTCGGAGGAAAAGCGGAGAAAACAAAAGTGGCTGGCAGACTGCCTGGACCGGACACTCGAAGAGAGATTTACCACGCCCCGCACCCGCGCGCGCTTCCCCCGCTTCAAGCAGCACCGCTTCCCGTGGTCAACTGCCATCTGAACCCTAAATGGAAAACCTCTGGGACAAAGAAAGACTGGTAAGCTCGGGCTCACTCTTATCACAGCATATGGCTACAATTGCTCTATTTCATTATCAATGATCGCTAATTACTGAGCCCGATTGGCAGGTGAGACCCGGCACACGCCTGCATGTGGAGGATTGAGGCGTATCCGGGGCTGGGCGATCCCTGGTTTCAGGCAGGCCCCACCSTTGGGAAGAGCCTGCTGTCCCTGCGGAGGGGTGAGGGGTCTGTGGTGAGGAGGAGGATGCATGGAGGGAGACTCCTGCGGTGCTCAGAGAGGCTTCCTCCTCCTGTCCTGGGCCAAGAGCTGGAAACCASGAGCTAGGAGTCTTCACTTCCCAAACCGGCTGCACAAAGCAGGAGGAAGAAGACACTGTGCAGCACCAGTCCCCACCCTCAGAACCGACGGGGGTCCATCTCCAGACCTAGTGCCACTCAGCTGGCCGAGCAGGTTTCAGTGCCTGGTCTCACGTGTCCTGGGCACCAGCACCTTTAACACCCACAACTCTGGCACTGCCACGACCCCCACAGGGGCTGACCTCACGCCAGCGCACGCGGCCTTATCTCCCTGAAAGGATCTATCAGCAATGCCCCCCTCTAAGTGTGAACAAAGCTCTGTCGTTCTTTTCTCCTTCTTTCTCTCTATCACCTATCAATCTATCATCTATCAATATGTCTATCATCTTTCACATGTGTGTCTATTATCTGTCATCTATTATTTACCTATCTCTCTATCATCTGTCATCTTTCATCTGTGATCCTTCATCTGTCTACATGTCTATCATCTGTTATTGATAATCTAGAATCAGTTATCTACCTACCTACCTATCGTCTATCCACTGAAGAAATCAGCCAGCGTTGCGAACCCTGGTTCGAGATCAGGGCTCTGGTGTGAGAATCTCAGAAAGCACTGAATGTGGACCATGAAGGTCAGAGCAGTGCCTTGAGGTCCACATGTTGGACGCTGCTAGTGGTAGCATTCTTGGTGACTTGTAGCCGTTTTGAAAGTCAAGAGATTGGACATTTCCCCCAAAGTAGCGTAACGATGAAAACAGGTATGCTTGTTAGTCCCCGACAGACGGCTAACTTCATCTATATTAGCTAATCGAACCTTCTCAAATACTCTGGAATCCACACCATCATTCCACCTCCTTTTCAAGTGAGCAAACAGGGCCGCTAGGTGAGGAATGACCCCCTTGCTTACTCTCCTGCCATATGCTGGCTGCTGCCTTCTTCCTCCTGCTTTGTCTGGGGGGGGGTGTCCTCTGCAGTTCATGTGTGGGAAATTTAATCCCTCAGTTCACACGCTGATGCCTTTTGGAGGGGGCTTTGGGGATAAAGAGGATTGAATGAGGACATCGTGGTGGGCCTCCATGATGGAAGAGAAGGAGACCAAAGCTAGCACGCCTGCTCTGTCTCACCACTCTGCTCTGCCGTCAGCCAACGTTCCAGTGCAACAAGAAAGCCCTCACCAGCTGCCAGCACCATGCTCCTGGACATCTGGGCTTCTAGAGCCAAGGGCGAAATGAACCTTTATTCTTTGTAAATTACCCAACCTGTGACATTCCATTATAGCGACAGAAAACAGACTAAGACACCTTCCTTCTTCATTTTCCTATCATTTGTCTTCCACCCCATCTGGTTATAATATGGAATTAAAAAAAATTATTCCCCAAAGTGTTGTATGTCTGCTTATTAATTTTAGAGGTATGTGAGAGCCATGGTTGATGCTACCTGTCATCAATCCCCTTTTCATATCAGCTTTCATCTAGTTTTTAAACTTCAGTCAGCTTTGTTTAACATGCTATATGCACAGCAGGAGTGCAATCAGCACAAATAAATGTACCCAGATGAAAGGTCGTGTGTGCAGTGACACCTTTGCAGAGGGTTGATTATTTTTTATTTCTTTTGATTTTTCTGCAGTGGTGGTTTAAGCCAAAGGGCTCGGCTTGTTACTCAGATGTGAATTCTAGCAAAAGTTTTGTGGCTGGCCTCCTGTGGTTCCCTAGACAAGCTTCCCTTGTGTCTCTCCACTTCCTGAACATAACACTGAGGGACTTTCAGCAAGTTCTTTTCAGTCTGCAGTCTTAGCTTTTCATAAGTGTTATCAGTGGGAAAGCAAATTCTCTGTCTTCGT